TGGCGGGCCAATGGCGGGCCGGGCCAAAACGGGCCGGGCTGGCCCGTTTTGCCATCCCTAGCTATTGGACATAGCTTTGATTATATGACAAATTTTGATAAATATTTGAGAGAAGATCCTTAACCTTATACAAAGTTAGTTGAGCTTGATATTTCACATTGGTGGAAAGTCAACTCAATTAGATTTCCTATCCTTACAAACATGGCCCGAGAGGTGTTAGCCATTCCAATCTCTACTATAGCATCAGAAAGTGCATTTAGCATAGGAGGAAGGGTGGTTAGTCCTTATCGTAATTGCCTAACGCTTAAAATAGTGGAAGTACTAATTTGTACACAAGATTGGTTGAAAGGAACACCTTTCTCTATACTTTTTGATGAGGATCCTAAAGAGCTTGATAAATTTGAGCAAGATGAGTTTATATTAAAAATCTATATATTTTTTAGTTTATATTTTAAAATTTTCAAAAATGATGGAATATTTTATTTTTTACAGAGATAATCTCTCAAGATAAAGTGAGACCTTCAAGTGTTATTTATTTGGATGATTGAAGATGTGCTTGATAAGTTGTACGTTATGATACAACTTATATTTGAAGATGTATTAATTTTTTATTTTGTTGTTTATAGGAGAACCTATGTTCTTGAGTAGAAATAAATGCTACCTGTCTACTTAGTTTTATGATTTTTTTTTTTTTTGTTTATGAGGAACCTATATTACGAATGAAGTGGGTAAATACTACCTTTGTTATCACCTATCTAAAGTTGACATAACTTTGATTGAAAAGTTCACATATCTCTCACTTTCGTTGTTTTAGAATTAAGACAAATCTTTGTATATCACACACTATCCTGTTTTGACACCATACAATTGTGGTTTTTCATATTTAGTTGTTTTTAATATTTGTTAAGTAACAAGTACATATTTATCAATAAATCACATATAGGTGAGGCTGTGTTTGTGGATGACATTCCAACATAGCCTGGATGGAGTGATGTGTCACATATATGGTTGGAAGGTGAGTGTTCTCTTTCTAAATACTCTTATTAAGTTACTATATATTGCATGGAACTCTAACGTAGGCTATCCAGGATTCTAAATTATGGAGAACAGGAAAGTTTGATGTTAATGAATTATCGACCCTTCAAACTAGCAAGTTCTCTTTCTGAATTCTAAATATGTTGTTCATGTTGTGCAAATTAGTCTAAAGTTGATTATCTACTTGCAACAGATTGAACTATATGTGTGACTATTTTCTCAGATAATTTTCGGACCATGTGTGTTTTTTTGGTTTTTTATGTTAAAATTCATTTGAGTACTATTAAACTGTGTCGTTGTGGTATTAAGGATACATAATAATTTTATGCCTATAGTATATGTCATTCAACTATCTGTTGGGTAACAACCCCTTAGACATTGGTTAGCTACAGATTAAGTCGGTAAATACTACCTTTATTTTTCTTGGAGTATGAGTATGGTGATACCACAAATGGGTGTATTTCAACGGGCAGCTGAACCTTGGTTTCAATTTTTTCTTCACTGTTTTCTTTTCTTGCTATGGTTCAGTTCAATTCTCTTGAATGACATATTTAGGAGCACATTTTAATCCTAATAACTTGACAAATGGTGCTCCTAAGGATGAAATCCGTCATGCGGGTGACCTGGGTAACATAATTGCTAATGCAGATGGTATTACTTCTTTCTTTTCTTATATGTCTTCCTCTACTGTGACCTGCTTATGTATCCTTTTGTCATTTGTTTTGAAATACAGGGGCTGCAAAGACTACAATTGTGGATAATCAGGTGCTATTTTTTTTACTTATTTTAACATAATAGTTGTTCTTTTGGTACATATTAATTCCAAACCATTTTTAGCAATATCATTCCATTTTGAAAGTAGCTAATCATATTGTATGGCACCAAACATGCAGATACCACTGTCTGGCCCTAATTCAGTAGTTGGAAGAGCCTTGGTGGTTCATGAGCTTGGAAAGGGTTCGAGATTCCATTTTAATATTTTTATTTTTTTTTATATTTGCCTTTGGATCCTGTGCTGTGGACAAAATTACTATCACGAGCTTAGGCACTTGTATTACCTAAGTAAACACACAAACCATCACATGACTCACATTGGATCACGTGTTTCCTATACCGCATTAATGACAAAATGAAAACTTACAGAGTCTTCAAGTTTGGAATTTATTTGTTGAACCATCATGGTCAATGTTCATGCACACACCACTACTTTTCTTTATCACCATTGTTGTTTATATATTCATACTTGCACGCAAATGTGCACTTTACTATTTATTTATATATAAATTGTTGTCATCATTTAGACTATTGATATATTTATATATTGAGAAAGCTTACTAAAAAAGTGGTGAGCATATCCAAATTTAACATTGGGTGTTTATTCTTATCTTTTATTCAAGGTTTTAAAAAAAAGTTCAGCACAGTTTAGAAATAGTTCATAAATAGTTTAATTTGAAAATAGTGGAGTTCAGAAATATATTAAGATGCATAACAATTCTGTTCATGTTACTGTTTAGTGTAGTGCAATTTGGTAGAACAAAAAAAAAGTTCAGTTAAATTTCTCTGAACAAATTTTCAATTCAAGCGAACTATTTTTTTATTAAGTGCAATTTTTAATAATTCAATTCAATACAATTCATTTTGCCCATCTCATCACTATTGGCTTCTTTTTACAATCCTAAACAAACTTCTCTCATTACAAGCAATCTCATTACTTTTTCTCCAATTGTGGCTTCTAGCTAGGGATGGGACACATCAAGCTTTTACCAAGGATCTATGTTCTGATTTGTTTCAAGTATCATTTCACTTGACCTATTTAATAAAAAGATTAAATTTAAACTTAGAAAAACAACTTATTTTAAAAAAAAAAATTAAACTTAGACTTTAAAAAAAATTGTTAAGCTTGATAAGTCAACCTATTTATCTATATAATATATATAGTACCTTATTAACAATATAATTAAATAAATAAATTTATAATAAAAAATTAGAATTATCAATATTTTAACATTTTCACTACACTGAATTGCTTTACATTCCCTATAAAAAAATCAAGATATAGAAAATAAAAAATCCAGCACACACATTTTTGCCTACTCTATTCCTTCGCCTTTATGATTGATTATTTAGAATATTCCAATGATATATAATAGATCCAGACTTTGGTTTTAATTTTATAAACTAAATCTTACCTATATATTCAAAGTCTATCTAGACCTATTCTCATTCCTACTCCTGCCATGGGGTGCTTGGCTCTAAGGAGACGGCAGCAGAGTGGCAGATATGGTGGCATGGTGAAGAGACCATTCAAATTCAAATGAGGTGATCTACACATTTGCTGCTACACATTTTCCATGGAATATATTAGGTAAGCCAAACAATTTTCATTAGACTATTGGACCATCAACTGGTCTCTAATTGCTACGTCAACAACAGCTTTTGTATAGCTGACATCGTCAACAGGCTACCTAATCTCATTGTAAATCACTTTTAGGCCTCAATCACAATATACTTGTACAGAGAGCTATTCCACCAATAACTTCAACGTTCTTTTCCAAATTTCTTAGGAATTTCTTTACTTCTGGGTATACATATTGGACTCATGCATTTCTTTTTCATCTTTATGCATTCTTGCATATCATTGTTCTTTTAATTTGCGATGATTTGTTATCTAGTGATGACGGTGGTATGGTATTGCTATTTGCTATTATAAGGTGCACATTAGAACTGCTGTCTAAGGCAGCCCCTCCAGTAGTGATTCTTACAGGAACTACTCTCTAAACCCTCCTTACAACTCTGGTGCAGAGCTGCTATCTTAGGCCCACTTAATAGCATCAAAATAGACAGTGGTTATAAAAATTAACAATTATCATAGGGAAATTTAACTGGCATTAAAGGTCTTTTCTAGTAGTGAACAGTGAAATCATGAAAAAAAAAAATGCTTAATTGGAAACAGAATAACAAAACCATCCACCCAAAATAGAGAGGGAAAAAAAGTTCTATAAAGTGAGGCAATAAATATGTACACCAATGAATTTTAGTAGATTAAAATTGAGATGCTCATAAAATTAAATGACGGATGAATACACCCTTTGTCACTCCAGAATCCAGATGAACCTTGGACTCCAAAATATGTAAAGAATTGAGTCATGACCATAAAGAACTATTGAGATCTTAAATAATATCAAAAACACACTTGGCTTTGACTGCATGTTTAACCTGAAGACTTACAAACTAATCCAGTCTCAAGCTGCTTAACATACAAATTTACTGAAAAAGGAGCTTCTTGATACAATAAAAAATTAATTCGGTTTGTATCATAATGTAAATGACCTGGGCAAACATACCTTAAGTCATGCAATGCTTGCAAAAGTTGTCTTGTAATTCTCTTAACTAAACTTAACTTACCAACAAACACTAAGTTTGGTGGTTCTTACTTTTCTTCTTTCTTGTAGCAAAGCTGCTAGGTCCAATTTCTATTGACATTCTTTTCGTCCTGCAGCATATGGGAAAAAGAAAATACATCATATATTGTGTAAATATGGAAAGTCAAATACTGCCAATTTGTCCCAAAAACACTCAGAAACTATTTCATTTTTTGTATTTCATACTGAAGCGAAATTACCTTGATGATAACTCTTCTGACTCCTTGCAATGCTCATCAGCAGCACCATCTATGAGAAAAACATTATCTAATCAATTAATTTTTCTCGCACACATAAAACAAGGAACCATATGACAATGAGTCTATGAGAGACCAATACTCTCACTTCTTGCTGCAAGAACAACTAACAATATGAGCATGCAGTCAATATTTATGCATTTATCATCAGTAACAGACTAACAGGTTATAAATCAGCCAAGTGTCTGTTTGGGAAACACTCAACCAATTTCTCCTCATCCCAACAGATCAAAATTAATTCTATCAATTCAAAATCATTTCTACCCAACTTTAATACAAAACAGACCCCAGGTTATTGACTGTTTAACCTAATTTGATGTCAAATTAAATCTCATTTGAATTGAGCAAGCATGAGGAGAATACATACCAATTATATCTCCCTCTTCAGTTTCCTGCTCTGGCTCTGACTCTGACTCTGAACCCCATCGATCTCCTCCATCATCATGGTCCCAACGATCACCAACAGGAGGCATCCAGAAGTCTTCCTCTTCTGTGTCACTATCCTCGTTGGAAGACTTCCTAACTTCAGATTTAATTTCTTCAATTCCCTTGTCCTTATTCTTCTTCTTCCTTCCTTCCTTTTTTCCACCTTCTGCACTTTTTGACTCCTGTAAGCTCTCCTCATCAATTTCCTTGTCCTTATTCTTTTTCTTCTTCTTTTTCTTCATCTTCTGCATTCTATCCTCCTTTCCATCATCTGCACTTTCTGTCTCCTGTAAGCTCTCCTCACATTCCATTCCATGACATGACAACTTTTCCTCTTCCTTTCTCTCTGTTTATAGAAGTCAGAATGCATTAGCAAATAAAGCTCTACAAAATCCATACGAAATCGTGGACCATATAATCTGCAAATACTAGCAGAAAAACTGAGCCTCACTTCATATTATTAAAGCATCAGCATCACTCGAAATCCAAAATTGAGTGAATATTAGACATCACTGACCTAATTTATTGAGAAATCTTTTCCCAGTCATATGCTTCCAGATATGTTCCTCTGACTTATTGACATTGTCACCAGTCAGCTTACATATCAACTTTGACCTGAAAAGAGGAACAAAAATAAATTTGATATAACATACTTGACAAACACATAAAATGGGAAAAATCAGAGATTAAACCCTTGAAATTTGGCCCATTTTCATTTCAGCATAGCTATTCCATACAAAAAGGCTCTACATTAATTCAGTGGAAAATTCACTTTAAAAAAAAAAACATTGATTAAAAAGTACAAAAAACTGAAACATATTAATTAATATGAAACACTTTTCAGGTCAAAGTTGTTTTGTTGAACTCTTTGTAACTGCATTCCAATCATAGTTGTAGCTGCATCAGTTATATTTGTCTACAATTTCCCACAATATCCAGAATCACAACAGAACCAACACCACAAGTTAAAACCTTCCATCAAATCTTGCTTTACTTTTTAAATTTTTTTAATTGAGATTTATTTAAATATAAATATATTGTTTATATTCCCGAATGGATTAAAGAGAGGAGGGTGTATATAAACTACCATTAATCTCGACTACTAAAAAGTGATGTAAGACTTTTGGGACATCCTGGCCTCAATTTAGGGTTTAGGGCCAAGAGTAATCAATACTCCGACCGGAAGTCTACTGACATTGTTAGCATTAACCACTTCCAAGATATTGTTCACTGTTATAAACTAGTCTCGGCCTCTCTAAAGCGATGTGAGATTTTTTAGGCATATCAGTGCTGGTACTAATCTCGATTCATGAAATTCGTGTTACTTACTCTCGTAAAGAATATCACCACTAAGAACAAAGAGCATTTAACACAAAAATGACAACATAAACAGCATCTAAACAAAGAGGATTTTTCCCTCATGTCCGGTGCACAAAGTTAGAGAAACAGTCAAAGTCAGATATAACATTGATAACCAAGTGCGTGCCACATTGATTAGGTGACTAAACCATGCTTAAAATCCGAAACCCATGAACGAAGAGCGTAATTCGCAAGAAGGAGAAGGTGAAGGGGAAAGAACGTTACCGGCAGAGAGGGTCTTGCTTGAACATGTTAAGAGGGGGTTTTTGATTGGACAAGGCGAAATCGATGAGACCCAAACGGCATTTTTTGCAGTGGGAGTAGGAGGCTATGTCTTTGGAGAGGACCTCGTGCCCAGTCTCTACGCACTTGAAACGCCCGTTTCCCAACTCTGTGAAGGTCGGCGACCCAAGCAAGTTGCTACCTTCCTTCTTCTCATTCTGAGTGCCTTCGCTTGTTCCCATTGCCCACAACCCTATGCAACCCCAAATTGCAGAGGAAAACGAAAACCCTCTCGCTGGAGCTTCGTTTCAATTAATACTCTCGCTAAACGGTGTCGTGTTGCTACACCAGATTTGTTGTTGGTCAGAAAACCTTATTTGCACTTTGATTTTTCTGTGATTTCTTTTTCTTTTTTTTTATCTTTCTTTTGTTATCTATACTAGAGTTATGTTTGTTAAACCATTTTTTATTTTTTTTATAAAAGTGCTTTTGTAGAAGAAAATAAGCACTTTATTATTTTTTCTAATTTTTTTTTAAAATAAACAGTTTTTTTCCTTCTTTTTTTTTTTTAGAAATAGTTCCTATTTGTTTTTTTTAAGAATTACTTTTTTAAAGGAATTCATTTAGAAACACTTCTTTTAAGTTTAAAACAAATGGATTCTATATATAAAGCAGATATTTCCCTTTAATTTGTACATTTTTTTAAATATTTATATATTTATATATTTTTTGTTATATTTTTTTTATCATCATAATCATATCTCTTAAGAATAAAATAGAAGAAAAAAAATATATATAAATATATATATATATATATATATATATATAATTATCCACTTTATCAATAACTAATAGGAAAAGAGGTATTTTGTACCTCTTAAATTTTAAAAATTATAAATGAATAAAAAAGATAAATTCAATGGATGGTTGTAAGTGGTTACTTAAAAAAATGAGATGTTTTTTCCTTAACAAATAAGAAGTATAATAGTTCACTAAAAGTGGAATCCAAAAATAGTTATGTGTATCACCTTTATTAAAAATTAATGGAGTCAAGACATTTTATGTCTCTATATTTTAAAAAATAAAATAAAATAAATTTTGAGATTAAATAATAAAGGTATTGAAATAATATAAAAATAGTATGGTAGGTAGTTTTTAAAAGAGAATGTTGTTACTAAAAAAATTAATATTTTTTTAATTTTTTTAATAATATAAGAGTATAATGGTCTAACAAATGTAGAGACTAAAGGTAGTTACCATAGAAAAGAGAACTTTAGAAGTAATTGTGTACCAATAATAACAAGAGATGAGAAGAGAGAGATAGTAAAAAAAGACAATTGTGTGTAGTGAAAATTCATTTGCAATAGAAATGTAATTTGAAGTTACTTAAAGAGGCTAAAATTAAGACTAAAACAACAAAAATAAAAGTTTAGATATAAATAAATTACTTTATTTTTTAAGGAAGTTAGAAAGACAAAATGGTCTTATTAAAAATTGACCAAAAGTAATTAAGAAAAAAGATATTCATTTTATCTATTGTTATAGATGATATAAATACGTATAGATAATTTCTCTCTTATTTTGTAACCACCTTTGATCTTCAATTTTTTAAAAGATAATTTTACTCTTTTTTTAATTATATATTATTTTACTTGATTTACATTTTATAATCTCTATTATTTTTGTTTTATTTTTATTATTTTAAATAAAATACATAAAAGTAGTATGAAACGATTCAATTCCACTAAGGTAATGATAATCATATCAACTCTTCATTCAAATTACTCAAAAACTTCTTTTTATTAGAGAAATTACTAAAATTTCTATGAGTAGATTAACTAAAACCTAGGAGATTTTGGCATCATACATAGTTGCAAATGATTGATATTTAGATTGTATGATTTCTCAATGGTTATAAATTTATTTTAGATAAATATTTTTTTTTTCTTATTCATTTCTAATCCCTCATATTTAAAGTCAAATTTTTAGATTTTATAATTTTAAAAAAATTATTTTAGTCTTTTTATTCCATTGTTGCTAATGAATCTGTCAAACAAAATCAAATCTTATATAGTATATATTAAACACAAACCTCTATTTTATATGAGAGTGATTTTAGGAATTTTTCCTTAAGTGAGTGTATTTTTAAGAATTCTTTTAACTTCTTATCTAATCTGATTTTTATTTATTACAATTATTTATAAATTAAATATTAATATTTTTAATAAATTATCAAAAAGAAAACTTAAATATGTTTTTAGTCCCTATAAAATTAACAAGTTTTGATTTTAGTCATTGTAAAATTTTTCCTTTGTTTTCCATCCTTATAAAATTAAAACTATTATTTTTAGTTCTTATTTTTATGTGGTCATTTTATAATTAATTTTTATTTATTAAAATGTTAAGTAACTATTTTAACTTTTAAGTGTCACATACAACCATTATTGATATCACATCTATATTTAACACCTATTAAAAATTTATAGATCCTTAAAATAAATATTATTTATCTACCTTAAAATGACTTAGGGACTAAAAATAGTTGGTTTAGATTTTATAGGGATGAAAACTAAAAAAAAATTACAAGGATTAAAATCAAAATTTAATCATTTTACAAGGACCAAAAACAATGTTTATAAATTTTAGAAGAATGAAAAATAAATAAAAAATTTAAAAGGGATCAAAATCCAAATTATCAATTTTATAGGAACTTAAAACATATTTAAACCTAAAAAATAAATATTTTTTCTATAATATAAAAAAATATTATCATAAATCTAAAATATAATTTATATTTTTAAAAATATTTATTTATACAAATATAAATTATATATTAAATGAAATATTTTATTTATATATAATTTATTATAAAATTGAATCATATATAATAAATATATTTATCAATGCACATATTAAACTACTAGTTTATTTATTATATCCTTGTTAGTGATAATATTACATTAAATTCAATTGAAATTGTACAAATTGCCTTGATATATAATTGCATGTGATGTTATTAGTAGTCTGGAAAATCTAAAATAAACTTGTTTTGAAATTTTGTGGACTAAAAAATTAATTTTAAATTTGAGAGACAAATATAAATTTATCATAAATTTAAATATATATATATATATATATATATATATATATATAAGTCTATTATTTAATGATTAACAAGAATTTTATAAAATTATGATGTGACCTTTTTTTGTATAGATTAACTATGAAAAATATATAATATATTTAAATAAAAGTAACTTTCCTAATATTTTATGATTTTTTGTTTAAATATCGTTTTCGCCCTCGAAGTTAATGTTATATCACACCTTTGTGATGTTTTTATAAAATTATTTTTATAAGATACACAACATGTTTAAATGCACCTCTAAGATATATGTTTAAGTAAGAATTATATGATAAAAAAAATAGTCTTTTTGATTTACAGTGAGAGTTGTTTATAAGCATCTCTCATCCACTTTAAATGGATCTCATACTGTCATATCATTCATAAGCAATTTATATTACATTTTTATAATTTTTATTCCAATAAAAGTTGCTTATAAGCACCTCCACCTTTTAATCATTCATACTTCATTTTTAATAAATTTTAAAAAATTTAATTATTATAGTTGTTGATATTAATGAAGGAAGGAAATATTAAATTATTTTTTTATTCTTAAGCAACCGTCTCTTATATAAGCAACGGTGCTTAAATTTTAACGATTTGACATGTCATGTCAATATGCTCCAATGCATATTTCTTATAAACAATGACAACTTAAACTTAAGAACTGGATAAGAACCTAGTATTGGAAATGCTCGTATTTTTGTTGGATGTAAAAATTATAGAGAATGATTATCCATGATGTTCTGGACTTGGTTTCAATCACACAAAATCTGTGATAAGATAATTAATTTTAACAACTAGTTATGTACGATCAAATTTAATACACAAATTTTATGATTATAATTAATTGTTATAAAAAAATTATATACTAATTAAATTCAAAAAATATTTAGATATATTTTGATATTATATAATTTATTAAATAGTAAATTGAAACGAATTAGAAAAATATAGTGAACAAAAAATGTAAATAAAATTATCTTAGTATACATCATCTTTGGTAATAAAGTTTATAATAAGATATAGAATATAAGATTTACTTAAGTCTTTATAATAAAAAACGGATTTTCAATTAATAATTTTATTGAACAAATGATGCATCTAAAATGAAATATATTTTCTTAGTAAAAATATAAAAACATTCATGAGATAAATGGACAATAATCAATTTTGTTTTGAAAAACAAGTCTTTGATTTAACTTATTGTTTACTTAATTTACTTTATTTTTTTAATCAAATATTTTATTTTTGGTTGTTTGTTAATTAATTCTAAATATAATTTCTATATTCAAATATAATATTTATTTTTATATATAAATTAATTTTAGTTATATGTAATACTAGTTGTACCACCTAGCTTAGTCGAGCCAAGCTGCCCTTAATGACTCACCCACAATGGGCCTTGGGAATTAAATCCATTGGTGAAACCCTAGAGGTTACCTCTTAATAATAGATATATGAAGAAAAGAGAGACATTAGAAGAGAGGTTAGATAGTGTCACTCAAAAACTCACATTTTTTACAAAATAGTGAAGTAATAAAGTTGTAGTAAGGAGTGTAGATGAAGAGGTAAGCAGAGTGAACACAAAGAGTTTTTATACCAATTCATCTTAACCACTGAAATTATGTCCAGTTCTTGATCCAACCAGATCAAGTTCTACTATCGTATCTTAGATACAAGTATTATTTATCAAGTCAGTTCTGACTCAATCCTAAGTGTTCTTTGACATGCTTCTTCAAGCAATTACCTAAGTATTCTTTTTACCCAAAACCTCTCTAGGTTTCAAACACTAAATATTCTTTTACAGACAAGTCTCTTCAAGTTTAAATCTAATAACTCAAAATTATAGAGGTTTACAAAGTTTCTTCGTCTTCCTTTCAAGACGTGATACAACATGTAACATCCTGCAATTCACAATTAAATTAATTATATATGTTTTATTATAAAATTAAAAAGACTAGTTTATAAAGCATCTTGATAATTAAAATATTTTGATATTTATTTAATTAATTATATGAGGATCAAAATATAATATTTTAGTATTATTATTATTATTATGAGTATCTTGAGGGAAGGGAAAATGTAACTTGAGTTAGTGTGAGTAACTGTGGATAGATTGGAGGAAGGTTGAGTTAGGTTTAATATTAAAAGGAGAGATACGTC